CTCCTATCCGCCAAAAATAGGGCCACAAAATGACAAATGTGAGATTGCCCTTCCCTGACATTTCTTTCATTGGGATCTCACTATTCAAATAAGTGCCTGATTAGTTTTAATAAGCCCGGCTTAATACTACTGTTTGATGAAACACTTCGACTTACTTTCGGGGCTCATTATATATTTAAAAAAGCCGGAATAGCTTGGCACACAATAATACTGAAATCATTTAAGAGGGGTTAAGGCACTCCGACTGAATGTGTTTTAGAATTAAACCTTATTGACTACAGGTTTCCGCAGGTGGAATTCATTTGGAAAATAACTTGTTCGGTCTTCTATTTTCTATCTTTGTTCTCAAAAATCAAACCCGTCGATATTACGAGTGAAGCCGTAAAAACTGTTCGGCGGGAATCAGTTTGACAACGAAGCAGATGTCTATTGGCAGCAGTTTTTACTATTCTGTGTACGGCGTGCAAGATTCAGGCCCATAGTAATGTTGGATTTTTAAGCTTTAGCTTTAAACTATTAGTTTGTTACTTTAAATGCAAAATCCATATAGCTTTTTTCAAATTATTTTTATTGAAAGAAATGATAAGATTATACCAATAAGGAATACAGTTCTTTCTTTTTTTTGTTTTGGGATAAACATATACTTGTGCAGGTACAACTTCTAATATATACATACAAGTATAAATGTAGAAGTAGTCACACCTACTACATATACAAAAAACAAAAACAAAGCAAAATAAGAACAATAAAAGAAGAGAACAACACACCCCATTCCCACCCTGTCTCAGCCCAACATATTCAAACTGCTTTTTACAGCTTTGGTCTACATTTTGGGTCCTATATCTCAGGTCCAGGCTTGTCATTCTGCTATTCGGTTGTATTTATACTACAAGACAGGGGTGTCAAACTGTTGTCCAGCAGGTTTTAGAGGTAATCCTTTTTTTAACACACCTGATTCACATCAAAGGGCCATTAGACCGGTGCAAAGCTCAACAATGTCCAGAGGAGATCCAATTTAATCTGAATCAGGTGTGCAGAAGCAGGAAAATGTCGTAAACCTGCAGGACAGCGGCCCAAAGAGGACTGGATCCTGACACCCCTGCTATAATGATTGTATATATTTTAGTCACTCAAATCTCTGCGCTGTGTTGCTTCCTTGTATATTTGTTTGTTTTTGCCGTACTTTATGCACCTTTTCCTCCTTTTGAATTCTAACCGATGTGTGACCAGTGAATCAATCAATATCAATAAAGCTCTTATCTTATCTTTTTAATTTTATAGAACAAAAGACAGGATGAAATCTGCTTTTATTTCTGTGCTGGTGCTGGTTTTTCGTGGCACCTCGAATGGAGCGCCCACTCACATTTGTGTCCCCTTTCGCTTCCCCGTAGGTGTGGTTCAAAAACCGGCGGGCCAAGTGGCGGAAACGGGAGCGGAACCAGCAGGCGGAGCTGTGCAAGAACGGCTTCGGCGCGCAGTTCAACGGACTCATGCAGCCCTACGACGACATGTACACGGGCTACTCCTACAACAACTGGGCCACCAAGAGCCTGGCCAGCAGCCCGCTCTCCGCCAAGAGCTTCCCGTTCTTTAACTCCATGAATGTAAGCCCCCTCTCGTCCCAACCCATGTTCTCCCCGCCCAGCTCCATCCCCTCTATGAACATGGCCTCCAGCATGGTTCCCTCGGCAGTGGCCGGAGTCCCCACCTCGGGCCTCAACAACCTGGGCAACCTCAACAACCTCAACGGGCCCGCCGGGCTCAACTCGGTGGCGGTTACCGCGGCAACCTGTCCCTACGCCCCCTCGGCGGGGCCCTACATGTACAGAGATACCTGCAACTCCAGCCTGGCCAGCCTGCGGCTCAAGGCCAAGCAGCACACCAACTTCGCCTACCCCGCCGTGCAGAACCCCGTGTCCAACCTGAGCCCCTGCCAATACGCGGTGGACCGGCCAGTATGAAGAACCCCAACCCCCCAATCCAACCCCGACAAGACCTACCAGCTCCGACCGCTTCCCATCGCTCCAGTTCAGTTCAATTCAATTCAATTTTATTTATATAGCGCCACATCGCAACAACAAGTTGTATCACAGCTTTCCAAACAGAGCAGCTCAGACCTGAAGTTAATTACAGAAACCCAACAATTCCCACCATGAGCAGCACTAGGCGACACAGGCAAGGAAAAACTTCCTTTTTCCTTCCTTTCCTTCCTTTTTTAGATTTGATTTTTTCAAAGTTTTCAGTGCAACATTAATAACACAGAACAGTTCGACATAGAGAGCAGTTGACAAAAATGCAGCTTGTTGAAAGTAGCGATGAATCGTGAACCATTTTGAAGCACAGCACATTTTAATTAAATTCAATTCAGTTTTATTTATATAGCGCGACATCACAACAATAGTTGTCTCACAGCTTTCCAAACAGAGCAGGTCAGACCCTACTCTGAAGTTAATTACAGAAACCCAACAATTCCCACCATGAGCAAGCACTAGGCGACACAGGCAAGGAAAAACTTCCTTCCACCGAATAGCCGGAGTTCTGGTGACACGCGATGAGAAGAAGCTTTAATACTGACCATTCAAACCAATCCCTTCAGCCGGATAAACGGATTTCCCAACCTACCCCCACCCCACAAAGTCTGTGAGACTTTATTGCCGAACTGACCGACGACTTCAACGGATTTTCTGAACATTTGTGTCCAATCTGATTTTCCTTCCTTTTGGGACTGCATGATCCGAGTACGAATAGAAATCGAGGATAAATTCAACCAAAATGGCCGCACCGGCAGCCGTTGCCATGTTTTCCCGGAACAGGGACCTGGGGTTGCCATGCGAGGGAAACGGAGGGTGTACATAATGGACTTTTTCTGTTTTGTATGTGAAAAGAAACCCGTGAAAGCGTAGTACTTTGAAGGCGAGAAAAGCATGTTTTTTGGGGAAAGCAAAGAGCCTAGCTGGATGTACTGTGGCCGCATCATTTAGGAACTTTAAACTTTGTTGTGGATTCCTCTCACCTCGGAAGGTCACAGGTCAAAAAAGGGTGACCGCATTTGTGAAAACGGGACAGTCCTGGAAGGCGAACATAACCCTAAGCTTATAAAAGAAAAACAAAATCAGCTTTTCACATGCATATATACCAGATTATCAGCAACACTTTTCAAGTAAAAACTCTAAAAAGCCATTGATTATATAGATTTTGTGTGGTGTTATACAAAGGGAGTCCATGACTGTAAAGCAATGTATGTAAGAGTGCAGCTGTTATAACAAAAAAAAACAAGCTTTTTTTTCTGGTGTAGCCTGCTTCGTCTCATTTAAGAATAAAGGATATGTTTCTATGAACTAAAAGTGGACCTTTACATGGAACAGAGGAGTTTCTGTTCCTCCTCATTTATGAATGGATTACAGAGGACCTCCAGCAGTCCATCTATAAAATCTTTCACCATATTTCCAGTGTTTCTGATTTGATTGAATTCCTTTAACTGCTGATTTGTAGCACAAATGCTCGCACCACTTCTTAAAATAAAAGAAAAACTACAATGTAAAAGCATCATCAGTTAAACTACAAATAGAGACTAATGCTTTTCAAATAAGATTTTTTTTAAATAACAACTGCTTTGATATAAACCTAAACTGCAATGTGGTGATCTTTGAGTTGATTTCTGAGTCTACCCTTTCAAACTAAAAGCCTTGATGCAACAACTTAACAATATAAATTTGAATGGAAATGCTGAAGGAAACTGAACTAATCTAACTGGAATATAACAGTTATCTAAGCATGCCCTTTAGAATATTGCTACATTTTTAGTGGCTGTAATCACTAAATGGGGTTCACTGAATTGATCACAAAGACATACAGCAGATATGATTTTTTCAGAATAAAATGTTGCATGGTAAAGAGATAAATATGTTTTTCAAAGAAAATATCTGACCTTAGAACTGAACCCTGTGTCTAACAACACTGTAAGTGTATCGGTTTTTAACCAGAAAATGTGAATTTAGTATATATATGCTAAGCAAATTGGTCCTATATGGATAAATGAGTGTAGCTGTGTTTGTGTACATTGTGCAAATGCATGCTGACTGAACAAAATCAGTCAGAAAACAAACAGGAAGTCTTTGAAATGGTGAGTGTAGCTTGCAAATCATGAGTTGAAAACACCTTCCCAGCACCATTTTCTGTTCAGATTCTTTTAGATTGTAAAGTGGTTGAAAATGGATTTGGACATTAAACAAAAACGGATTTATTCGAACAGTATAAATGTGGAGGAAGGAGGAAATGAGATGCTGTTGCAGTTATGTCCACCCAACCCAGCCCCCCCCTTTTGGGCAAGGGGAGGTGTTGTCAGGTTCTAAAAAGGGAGAGCAAATTGTTTCCAAATCAACCTGTTGACCCGGCCTTAGCGGGCTGCTGTGGGCAGTGGGCTGAAACGGTCACACTCCGCCACAAAAACACCCGTCCGATCGATACTGATGTTTAGGGGAAAGCTCCGGACAGAAAAAAAAGGAGGAGGAGGCACGGACCGTGGTCGGCACGGGAGGTTCTAACGATTACCTCGGAGAATACTGAGGAGGATGGAACCAGGCATGCAGGGAGAAGTCGTAGGAATGGTCAACAAACACACACACACACACACACACACACACACACAATAACAAAGAGCAGGCTTTGTTTTAGCACAGCCACCCCAGGAGCCCCAACATGTGCCGACAAAGACCCGTTACCAGGACTTAGATCCGTAATTACCTGCTGTTCGATGGTCTTGTGTGACTCGTTTTGGGAAATATAGAGAGACACAAAACGTCATTTTCCATCACAAATCTGAGAGAAAATGGGGCTGCGATGGTCTAATTCTGAACAGATTTGCAGCAAAATGCAGTCGACATGAAGCGGTCTGCTTTTTACCCATTTACATCATGTAAAAACAGGAAGGAGATGTCTAGTTTTAGGGGAAAAAAGCGTGAAAAACCACTGGTGGATGCATATTGTTGAGATAAACTCAGCATTTTGTGCTTTTTCAAACGGGTAAATGGAGACCAGCTGAGCTAAAGCCCCTTTAAAATGTTAAATCAAGCCAAATTGAAGCAGTTAGGAAGAACTGGGATACATATCTAACATATCTATGACCATAGTCGACCTTTGCTCTATGCTGCCTGCTTATTGGATTTTGACCGAATGAACTACAACTAATCAGCACTATTTAATCCCCTTAAAAGTAAAAGAAGACTTGTTAGTTTAAATGCACAAATGAAAGCTAAACACACTGTATGCAGTTGTCAGACGGCAGCAAGTCAAAATCTCATAACTACCGCGCTTGCCGGTTATTTGATCCGCCTGTAATCTGCCACTGAGTCGTGCTGGGGACCAATATCACTTTTACAGTCAACAGAAGATTAGTGCCCAGGCATTAACATTTACATCTGTTTCAGCCCTCTGATATACTCGTCCAGTGACAGGGAGGGAGATTTAGGATGACATCTTAAACCCAGTAATGCAAAGTTTTACAGATATTTTAATGCGCCGGCAATCAGGCCAAAGCATTTCCTCACCACTGCCAGCAAGTCGTTGTAACTTTGATTTACCGGGTTCGATTTACCACGTACGTTCACGGAAACAAGATCTAACAGAACTGAGTGTCAATTTAATTTATCTGCAACGTTTTGTCCTGATAGATTCTTCATTCTTGCACGATTTAAGAATATTCCTGCGATTTTTAAGGAGTCATATGCCATCAAATTAGTGCGATATGATGCCAAAACTGGATTTTAGCAGCTTCCACCTCATGGCTGTAAAACAATGGCCTTCCCTGCAGGTGATAACCTGCAAAAGGGGGCATCTGCCTTTAAGTAGGGCGCTTCCTTTGTTCAGCCGGCTTTGATTCAATGTTTCAAATAACCACAAATGACAGAGTGTGAACAAAAGCACCAGCTTTGGATGTTCAGGTCCATGCACGTTAGGATAAGTTAGTGACAGCGTGAGCATTTTTAGTGGATGGGACCAAACAATTAAATAAATGAATGTTTAAAGAAAGGAAAAGGAAACATAGTTTGTAAGAAAAAAAGATAGGGAGACAAATCAAATCAAGGAAAAAGAGTGAATAAAGCCAAATATATTATATGAATAGGAATATAAGCAGAAATATTATTGAAAATATTTCTTCTTAACTTAGCTAACAGCCATTAACCAGCAGATTTTTACTTTTATTTTATATTCTTCAGGAAGTATTAGTTCTTTCAACAAGAATATTTTCTGATTTTGGGTCCCAGTTGATGGTGAAGTAACTTTTTCTTTCGTCTTTTTTCTTTGCACTTGAACAATACATCATAAAAAGAATTTACATCCGAAGTAAGTTTTCAAATGTTGGTCTTGAAATGCTTTGTTTCCCACTTTTTATGAGCGCCCCAAACAAATTTCCCGCGAGCTCTGCTGCCTGAGGCTGGAGGCCACCATTTGCATGGAGAGGAACCACAGAGATTGCGAGGGAACATATTTAAAACAGCCTCTCTTCTTTTTTAACGCGTGTGACGGTTTTTAAAACATCGCCAAAGCAACGAATTTGTTTGAGGCTTTTGAAATGACGCTAGCATTGGGAGCATGAAGCTAAAAGTAAAGCTCTCAAGATGGAAGATCGGGGTTGTAATCACAATTGTTACACACAGTAGCTCCATGTTGGGCTTTCTTTTCTCTTTCTTTTAGCCTCTCTTCTTTTTTAACGCGTGTGACGGTTTTAAAACATCGCCAAAGCAACGTATTTGTTTGAGGCTTTTGAAATGACGCTAGCAGT